GTATATCCTAAGGGGGTAGTAGAAGATGTACTTGTTAAGGTTGATGGATTGATCTTTCCTGCTGACTTTTACGTCCTTGACATGGAACATGACAAACAAGCAGCCCCCATCCTGTTAGGAAGACCTTTCTTAAAGACTGCTAAGACAAAAATCGATGTGTCTACCGGTTCTTTGACTATGGAGGTTGATGGGAAAGCAATTGTGTATAACATTTATGATACCATAAAGTATCCTGTTGATACTCATTCTTTATATTCTATAAATGTTGTCGATCCAATATTGCATGATGTTTCTAACATTGATCATGGGGATGAGCTCCTCACACCTATTACTAATGTTGTGTCTGGTGATTGCTTGGATTCTTCTATACCTACTAATGTGCAGGTGAAGGTGGCGGAATTGAATGAACAGTCCAAGCTTCCACCTATACCACTAGGGGCAACACCCACCCCGTCATCATTTCCGGGCAAGAAATTATCCCAGGTATACCACAAAGCAAAGAATAAGGTGTGGCATGACAAGAAGAGCTCCCGTTGGAAGGGTCCAATTCAAGTTGACAAGGTCTATCCGCATGGAGCGGTAGAAATTCGGAGTTTAGAGACCAACATCATGTTCAAAGTGAATGGAAAAAGGCTCAAACCATACTACGAAGGGTTCAAGGTCGAGAATTTGGAGAACATCGATCTCTACGAGCCATCAATTGATTAACGAAGTTTCATGAGTTGTGTCGAGCCAACGACGTAAAACAAAGGCGCTAATCGGGAGGCAACCCGAAAACTCTTCCCCGTTTTCATTTATTTTAGTTTTTATTGTTTTTGTTTTGATGTACCAAGTGCTTTTGGTGGATTTATGTAGGAGGATGCTTTGGGAGTACGTATTGTGAGCAAAAACAGAGCAAAACAGGTAAAAACAGGCTTTGGGAGGCAGCCCCTGCAGGAGCCGCTGGTAGCGGGCTGGCAGCTGCTCTGTAGCCGCTACCAGCGGCTCTCCAAGCAGCCAAAAAATCCCAAAGTTCTGCCCCAGCCACTGGCAGCGGGTCTGGTGCCGCTGCCAGCGGGTGTCCTTCAGAAAAAAAAGAAAAAAAAAGGAAAAAAAAAAAAAAAAATTTTTGCAGCAGCCGCTGCCAGCGGGTCTTCCAGCAACATTCACCCTAAATTCCTTCTTAAGCCGCTGGCAGCGGGCCCCAAGCCGCTACCAGCGGCATTCCCTGCATACCTGAATTTTTGCCCTTTTAAACCCCTTTTTCTTCAATCCTACAATCCAATTCATTCTAGTCTTTATCCAAAACCCCAATTAATCACTTCCCTCTATCCCTTAGCAAGTATTATTTATCCAAAACAACCCATTTGCCCCATTTTCAATCCAAAATTCAGAAATTTAAAAACCCCTCGTCTAACCTCTTTTCCCTCAATTTCAAGTCCAATTAAACCTTAACATTGTTTCAATTTCTAAATTCTAAACTTGAAATTTGAGGAATTGTGTGAACCTTGGTGTTTGGAGGTTTGGTGGGTTGCTCATTGTATTTTGAAAGAGGAGGTGAGATTTGTGCAATTCGTTCTTGTGCAATGGGAAGACATAACAAGTGAAGGCAACCTCTTCACCTACAAGGGTTGCAAGGGGGTAGACAACAAGGGGATACTTCAAGGGAGGGTGTATCACCCTCTTTTCCCCAAGCAAATGACTTCATGGGCATTCGTCTAACTACGAAAGAAAAGACTACATGGGTTCAACTTCAACAGCCCAAAAGAATGGTGCAATGCACAAAAGTCGTCGATTTGGAGGCATTGCAAGTGGTTGGTTTGGAGGAAGTGATGGAGCACGAGCGCACCTACTTATGTGAGGTATAGATGAATTCCTTTCCACTTTGACTAAGGGATGTCAAGAATTTCTTTCAATTTTAACAATAAGAACTATGTCATGCCTTATGCGGTAATTAGAAATGCGTTTGGTTGGAATAATCTTCCCATGGGCAACACTTGGGGTCCCCATAGTTCATTTTTCTTCTCGAGAGTTTTGAAATCCTTGATAATGCCGAATCTTCCAACTTCGGGAATCCTTCCCATTAAGGTGGTACTTATTTCTTCCCTTTCCCTTACTTTTGTTTTTATTGTTGTTGTTCTTGCATTGAGGACAATGTCTCATTCAAGTAGGGGGGGGGGGAAGCAATTCTTGCATATTTTTGAAATTTGTATAGTTATCCTAATTTAATGGTTTTGTATAGCTATTTCAATTATGTTTCAATGAAAAAAAAGAAAAAAAAACAAAGAAGAAAAATTGAAAAAAAAGAGAAAAGAAAAAGAAAAAGAAGCCCTCTAAGTCGAAAACCTGAAAAGGCGGCTTAGGCAAAAATGGGGGCCCGGTTAGGTTGAAAACCCGAAAGGGCGACCTAAGCAAAAAAGTGGCTAATGAGCGGGTGAGGTAGTGAGATTTGGAAAAAGATGAGAGGCTAGGATGAAAACCCGAAAGGGCTCCTAGGCAAAATGAGAGAAAAAAGAGAGAAATGTTCATGAATTTGATTTTTCAAGGAAATTTCGCATCTATTTGCCGAAGTCGGTGTCATAAGGGGAGGAGATATAAGGAGGTGTCGGGGTAGGTTTCATCTTGGTGATTTTGGGAGATAGTTGAGATTTTGGGGGAATTTGTTGATCATCTTAGGAATTTGAGAGCATGAGTTGTTTGTTTTCACTCTTGAATGTGGAAGTGTTTTTATGAGATTTTTGGTTAAGTTGAGTTTTTGTTTGCCCAATTTTATCAAAAATTTCATTTCTTTAGGCGGTTGAGAATATTCATACTCATGGCTATGCGTTTATCGTTCCAAGTTGATTTTGGGGATGAATTGATAAATAAGAAAAAAGGGAGATTCAAAGTGTGAAGTATGGGGGAGTGTGATTGTGATTGGTTGATAAGTACTAGGATGTTTTGTTGAGTTTGAGTGCGTAGAGCTAGTTTGATTCCACCATCTTCTGTTTTGAACCTTAGTGAGGAGGATGTGTTTTATTCTCTAAGTTTACTCGAGGGCGAGTAAAGGTTCAAGCATGGGGGAATTTGATAAGCCTTCTTATCATGGGTTGAGAGAAGCATTTTAGGGTGTGTTTTGATGCTTTATATGTACTTTTGTTAGCTTTTGTGAGTTTTGGGCTGTGATTTCACTTATGTGCAAAAGGCGGGATTTATGAGTATAAGTGAGTGAGTGAGCTCGGGAACCAATGAAGAGTTATGTAAGAAGGATGGACCTTGGCTCGTGATTTGAGAGTTGTGATGGAGCATGGAAGAGCAAGGAAGAAAGCTTGAGGAAAAGGTGAAGCAAAGCAAGAAGAAGAAGCAAGGAAAGAAGGCAAAAACAGCAGGAACCGCTGCCAGGGCCGCTGGCAGCTGGCCAGAGCCGCTGGCAGCGGGTATACCAGAGTGAGGGGCTGCCAGAGCAGCTGCCAGCGGGTCCAGAGCAGCTGGCAGCGGCTCTGGCAGAAATTCGGGCTGTTTTGGTTAATTTTCAGCAATTTGGCTTTGTTTTGGCTCGTGTTTTGGATATTATTTTTGTGTTATGTTATTAAAATATAGAAACATATAAATAGCTTAGTTTTAATTAAGTTTTAAGTTAATTTAGTGAGAATTAAGTTAGAGAGAAGTAAAAGTTTTCTAGGGTTCTTGGCAAATTTCAGAAATCTTTGTTTTTGAATTAGAATCCATGGAAGCTTAATCTTCCGGATTCTTGGTTAAAGATTGAAGCTTTTGGCTACGAATTGTGAGATTTCTCTTCTCTTTATTATTATCTATTGAATGTTTATTATTCCTTTGAATTATTTCATGATTTGCTTTAATCAATTGCTAGGTTAGAATTGTTAGATTCGCTTGCATCTAATTAATCTTTCCAAAGTAGCAACTTTGGGTTATGAATGCATGCTTTTGATTGATAACTTAAAGAGGGAATAATATTATTGAAGAAATTAGACCGCTTGTGTTAATTTATTCAATCCTTGTTGATTTCTCCGTTTATGTTCTTCTTGTGGATGATTTAGAGCGCTTGTCTTAAATTATACATTAGAAAGGGTTAGAAAGGAGCGCTTTGCTATTTCTAACTAGCTTATGAGAATTTAGAATTTAGAATTCTACAACAAGGTGTTCAATAGTGTTTGATTGAAGAGGCTTCTATGATCAATTTGTATGTTCAATTGTGGATTTCGCATAACCAAGACCGTTATTCTCATTGATCGCATACTATTTACGTTCATTGTTCTGATTTAGTTTAATTGTCACCATTGCTTGTCAAAACCCCCTTGTTACTTAGATTACTACGTTCCTAGAGTAATTCCACTTAGGTTTGCAGTTATTAGTCCCTTTTTCCCTGTGGATTCGAACTCGACTCCCCTAACTACGTTTATTTGCAGTTAGCTTAGTTGTGATATTTTTGGTTGCATACGACTGAGGCACATCAATCGCCCCCCTCCCTAATTCTAAACCACCAGCCCCAAACCACCCTAAACGAGGGTTTCGATTTCGGTGGTTTGGGGCTGGTGGTTTAGGATTTCTAATTCGATTTCGATTTCGAATTTTAGGGTTTCGATTGGCTGGTGGTCGGGGCAACAAGAAGGAGAAAGGGGTTCGTTGGCTGCGTAGGGGTGGGGGAAAGGTGGGGGCGTCACCGATGAAGAATTTGGTGGAGTTTCGCGACGGAGGTGACGATTTAGCAGTGGGCAGGTGACGATTTCGGTGCACCGACCACGAGGTTATGGGAGGTTAGGGGTGGTTGGCAGGTGGGGAAATGGAGGAGGCGGGGTTTGCCGGTTTCGGGGAAACATTTGCCGCCAGCAAGGGGGGGGAGAGGGTGGTTGACGTTGGGAAGGGGAGGGAGGTGTTTGAGAATTTTTTTTATTTATATAATTTAAATTATTATTTAATGAAATATGAGGCCCACTTAACGGAATTTTAAAGGATTATGTTAAGTGATAGCAATATATATATATATATATAGTTAGGGAATTTGTGTGGTAGTAATTTAAAATATTTTTTTAAACAGGTAGTAAATGTGACACGGGGTGTTTTCGCCGGTAGTAAATGTCAATTTTTCATAAAATTTATGCTAGTCTCTATTTTCTCCGGTCTTCTCTGTCGTTTTTCTACCACTTCACTCCAAACGAATTGTGTCAAATTCGATAATCCGATAATCCGATTGCATATTTCACTGATCACATATTCACATGGTAATATTTTCCATTTCCCACCTATCAACAAATTTTGGATCATCGCTGGTTTTTCCCACAAAAAATTATCCTGTTATGGGCAACGTTTCTGAGCGGAATCAACCCAGTAAAAGTCTTCCAACCAATTCTCTTTTGCATTCCACATTTTTTACGGTTTTTATTTTAATTTAACTTTTTTTTTTAATTTATTTTTTTTCAGGTTCTGCTAAAAGGGTTGCTGTTGTTGGTGCTGGTGTTAGGTAATTTTAACCCCCTGCTACAATATTACTTGTATGTCGTTTAATAAAATTTGTTAACCATTTATGTGATAATTGCAATTCAAATTGGTCACTTTCATTTTGGCATTGTAATATTTTGAAAAGCATTGTAAGATTTTACTGAATAATCACTTTGGTTATGTAGCCGACCCCAATTATGGGATTAAGGCTTTGATTGATTGGTTGATTGAATATGTTGAAAGGATTGTAAGAAATTCCGTGTACGTATCTTCAAAGAAATGGGATGGGATCATTTTTTTTGTAGAGATGGATAAACTATTTGAATGATTAGTGTATTATTTTGGTCGAATTGTAGTGGACTTGCTGCGGCGTATAAACTGAAATCGAATGGTTTGAATGTGACATTGTATGAAGCTGATAGTAGAGCTGGAGGGAAACTCAAAACTGTTGTAAAGGATGGTTTGATCTGGGACGAGGGGGCAAATACTATGGTAATGTTTGTTAACAATGTCGGGTCTTACGCTTTAGCTGACACTTAATTTCTGGATATGGTTCAATTATTGGCTAATTATTGTGGTTATTTTGGGATCGTCTTCTGTGTTTACAGACTGAGAGTGAGGAGGAAGTCACGAGTTTGTTCGATGATCTCAAGCTTAGGGAGAAACTACAACTTGTAAGTCTTCAAATTTAGAGTGACAAAATCTTTATGCAGAAGATTGGAGTGGCCTTTGTTTCTTATTTGCAGCTTGGTATATCTTCAGAATGCTTCCTAGTCTGTTTTGTGGTTAAGTTTCTGAATACGTTATTTGGTTGTTAATTCTGTCACAGCCAATCTCACAAAACAAAAGATACATTGTCAGAGATGGTCTTCCTGTGCTGGTTAGTTTGCTGCTTTTGAATTTGATCACTTTAATTATATTCTAACTCTGGAAACACGATGATGCATGAGGCAAGTTCACTCCCCTGCATTGTATTTACAGCTGCTTATCTTTGATGCAGTTACCTTCAAATCCAATTGCACTGCTGCAGAGCAATATACTTTCAGCACAATCTAAGGTCATTATATGTTAATGGGTACTTGATGCTGAGAATTCTTATTATTTCCTTATACTTAGTGTGCGCAAATATGCAATACATTGTGTGTGTGGTTTTTTTTTTTTTTTTTTTTTTTTTTTTGGGGGGGGGGGGGGGAGGGGGGAGGGAATGCAAATTGCATAGCTATCTAAGAGGTTGAGTCAAAAGGAAAATCCCCGTGCTTCTTTATGTGTTTTTCAAAGTGGCTGTTTGTGGGAAGGGAGGATGTGTGAATGTAACTTTAATTATTTATTTATTTTGTTCACAAACGGTCATTTGCTTCTTACTCAGCTACAAATTATGCTGGAGCCTTTTCTTTGGAGAAAACACAATGCTACTCAGGTTTCTGACAACCATGCTCATGAAAGGTAATTGTCCATCCTTATGTAAACATTAGTTTAATATTCTGTTGCTGAAATTCGGGAAATTATCAAAACTCACTTATCATCATCCTGAGAGCTGAACATACAATTCTAACTCCTGAGTTTTTTGCCTGATCAATTTTATTATAAAACGGACTTATTTGCTAATTATTGAAGTACAATGATATATACTAGCATTAAAGTAAGAGCTTGTTAAGACGTTAAGCTCTTATGTAAATACTTTCTAGTGAATTATGATGTATGACCATTGGATTGACATAAATGTCTATTTTTCTGCAGTGTGGGCGAATTTTTTGAGCGACATTTTGGGAAAGAGGTATAGTTATGGTGTTTTAACAGATGTTTCTCTTCTGCTCTAATGTTCTGATACTTTTTTTTTCCTTTGTGTGTGTGTGTAGTTTGTTGATTATGTAATTGACCCTTTTGTTGCGGGTACAAGTGGTGGAGATCCTCAATCACTTTCTGTGAGTGATTTTTTCTTGTTTCATTTCTTTCCAATCCTTTGGAGGTTGTAAATGAATTTCGTTCCAGTTGTGCAGCCAAAGATGGATATAGCCTTTAATTTATGAAAAAAACTTGTAGGTCCCATGCTATACACTGATACTTGTACTCATGATTGTTAAGAGTGGTAGATCTCAATAGAAGCTTAAATTTGACCTACATTGAATCTGTTAGATGTATCTAATCTTTCAATAAAAGTATGTTTTATTTATTTATTTTATTATATGTATTATTATATTATTTTTATATATTTACTGAAGTCAATTTATGGAACTGCTCTTTGTGTTAACATCTTATATTTTATGCAGATGCGTCATGCATTTCCAGAATTATGGAATATTGAAAACAGGTGTGGACCTTAAAAGCCTTAATATTTATTTATTGTGTCTGTTAGGTCATATGTTATTTTTACTTTCAGATTTTCCACGACTGTTTATGTTTCTACTTTGCTTAATTTTCAAATTTGTACTTTGCATTCAAGATCCTATGTATGCTGATAAACTTATATCACAAATAAATTAATTGAACTCGTTCACGTTAAACATTAGTTTTACTTTACAATCTTTTTATCTCAGCTTTTCTTAATATCTCACTCAACACAGATATTAAAAATCTTGACAGTGTTCAATCTTGTGCAAGTATGCAACAGCTGAGAGATTACTTGATCTCACCTTACTCTAGCACATTTAATCATAATATTTGTGTTCAACCTGGATTTTTCGTATTGAAAATCAAAGTAAAAGAGAAACATTATTCATTTTTAACACCTTTCTTCAACCCCTACCACGGCCCTTCACTTTTACCTCCCTGTTATGCAATTGTGTTGCTTGCATGCTGCCCAGATTAAATTTCTTATCATGCCTTTGGTTTGTAGATATGATGCAGTAAAAATGAACTTGCTTGTAATTGTTTGGGAAACATGTGATCAGAATTGTCTAGAAGTATGTTTAATTATGACAAAAAGCTCTTGCACTCTTAATTTTGGCTCCCTATTTTTTATTAGAATAATATTGCGTATTGACTCCATTTTTTAAAAACATTGGGTGCTGGGAATATTAAAGATCTTGTAATTTTCCCTATTGTTCATGTTTTTGTTGAAGCAGTGATGTGGAATTATAAGGGGGAAAAGACGAGGGAGAGAAAAAGGGGAGGGGAGACGATAGATAAAATTGCAGTAGGAAAGGGATGGGAACTTGTAATTAAGGGGGTTAGAATAATTCTATCTAAATATCTTCTCTCTCTGTTATATTTTATTTGAAATACAGCCTTATGGCATGCACTTTAAGGAAGCACTTAGAGTAGGTAGATGGACCAAATCATCAAGAAAACTAAAACACTGGTAAGGAGGAAGGGTATGGGTATTAATTATATAAATTATTTTGATAAAGTGGTTCGTTTACATTGTGTAATCTCCTTCAACCTAGGACTTATCATTGGGATGTGTTGCAAGGAAAAAATCATAGGAAGTAACTATTTTCCTGCAATTTTAGATTAAAAGTTGTTATTCATTTACAAAGATGACTTCATGTAATATGCTTTGAAGTTGAGTTTGGAAATTTATATTTATGGCCAACCAATAGTTGAAGTGTTGAACTTTGAAATGGGTGATAGCTTTTAAGTTCACACACATTAGTGGGCAATAAGAAGTGAACATCAATCCATATACTGGAATTTTCCATACTCTGGAATTTTTTTTGAAAGTGTTTTCCATATTTGTTGGTAAAAACAGGCGAATCGACGTACTAACAACAATGGTCTCTAGTAGGATAAAATATAATTATTTTTAAGGGTAAATAAGAATTAGGAGGGTTGCATAGTGGTTTAATTTTTGTTCTTTGTGTAAGTCCATTTCTTTTTCCTTCCATGTCATGTGTTCAAACTTTTGAAGTCGTGTTTGTGATTTTCTTTCTTGGATGAAACATATTTTGTTATCCCTCTGGAATAAATTGTGTTGTGGATGGACATTTTTGGTGATCCCTCGTGTCTAATCAAATGCTTTTTCTTGAATCTCAATTTATCATTTTCTATTCTGTGTTTGTGGCTGATGAAGTAGAAAAATTCAAGTAATTTTCAGCCGACCGCTATTAGTATGGTTTGTTGTATTGTTAGCTGCTAGTCCTCTATGCACGCGATGCCTACTTTGATGTATCATGTATTAGTATCAACACTGAAATAAAATAGCATTTAAGCTATGATATTATTTAATGATTGACAAATTTTTTGACAATAACATAAACAAACATTTGATTGTTTTGCTTACAATCACAGTAATCAAACTAACATAAGAACATTGTATTTGAGTGTTTCGTAATCATATTTTTTTTTTTTAATTTGCACCAATTTGCTTGTTAGCCACATGCACTTGTTGGCCCACTCAACTTCATATACGTAGTCAGTGTTTCAAATACATACTCAACACTGTTTAACTGTTGTGGATTAGAGTCTCTAATTGGTGGACGTAAAACCCAAAAGTAATTCTTAAATCCAAAGGCTCGAGAGAATTCTGACCCCTTGGTAAATATGTTCTAAATTTGATCTTTCATTCCATAGTAATCACAAATCCCACATCTTAGATGGCAGCAATCTAATTATAATTTAACATACCTGGTAGTGAATTGTCGTTAAGCAGAGTAATGTGGCAATCTTGTTTTCAAAGACGTAAAGTAAAAGCATCAATCAGTGGATTGTATTACTTATCTGTTCAAGAATGATATGTAAAAATTTGGGTTGGTTGTTTCCTTGAAATTGTTCAATGAAGAAATATACGTAGTATTATTTTGGTTTGATTGCTGTTTCTTTTTAGTTGTCAGTTTAAGCATTTTTTTTAAAATTTTTTTTTACACTGACTGATGTTTTTGGGTTAGATTTTTTATATTGTTTTGTCTAATAATAAGGGACATAATGGGTATTTTAGGGGACACTACAACCTCTCCCTTCACTTATATAATAGAGATTTGTTATGAAAAACATCTGAATTGTAGAACATGGTTTTAGATGTGGAACTGACGAGTCCATTACAAGTTTTGTTGTCCATTTCAATTTGTTATGTGACCCATGTCTTATCAATTGTCTGCATGAATCCTAATGTAGGTTTGGTTCGGTAATTGCTGGATTTTTTAAATCTAAATTGTCATCCAAGAAAGAAAAGGGAGGAGGATCTAACAAGAAGCCACGTGTACGTGGTTCATTTTCTTTCCAGGGTGGAATGCAGGTATTCACATGTAGGTTAAATATTTATCTTTTGTACTACTTCTACCAAAATATATCAGGTCTTGTTAATTACCTGCAATCACACGCATCAACCTTTCAATTGTTTTTTTGGTTAAAGCTGATTTGCTTTGTTTTACTATTGTTTGTAATTGGGGATATGTTGATATCACAATGTGTATTAAGATAATGTAAGAACTTCATTGTATTAAGAATAAAATATTACATGAGAGGACCAAGAGTCCTTTCTTTTAGTAGAATGTCGAAAAAGAGGGTCATTCAGATTTTATATCTAAAGAAGTCCCAAAAAGGCTTCCAAGGTATGGGGGTGTGAAACTGTAGAGCACTAGAGCGGCCATAGAAATTAGATCTAATGAAGCGACTTGGCAAGAGATCCAACTTTAAAACATTATTGACAACACCCATAAAATTGTAGCTTAGATTTTGATGTTATAGTAGTCTCTATCAAAGCTTGCTTGTCAAGCTTGCCTGTAAGGTGTATTGTCTTTGACGTATGAGTCTGAATAATTACATAGAAATCGTTTACTTCTGTACTGCTAGCTTATAAAACTTTTTCTGTTTACTGATCAATCTATCTTCTATAGACACTTGTTGATACGATGTGCAAACAGTTTGGTAAAGATGAACTCAAACTTCAGTGTAAGGTGCTGTCGTTGTCACACAACCCTAATGAGAGCCCTTCATCAGAAAATTGGTCAGTGTCTTCCATGTCAAACAACAACATCCAAGATCAACAATATGATGCTGTCATTGTTACTGTGAGTTTTTGCTTACTTTGTTTCTTCCTATTGCATTTATTCTACTGACAAACATTGGGAGTACCATTTAGCGTTTCAATCTAGATTCTAGATTGAAACAATGCTATATAGCCAATATAGGTTAAAGGGGAATGTTTCAGGGATTCAGGTCTATAAAGGATTGTTTGAAGTTCAGTTCTGTGGTAAGTGTGATTCATGGAATAAATTGAAATCAAGAGAGGGGATTCGATATTTAGAAGATGCACTAGCAGTCTCAAAATATGCATGGCTCTAACATGCTATCCTACTACTGTTCCTCTGCATCTCAGAAATTTAGGAAGTGCAATAAATATCTGAACTTTTATAATATTGACTTATATTATCTAGACTTTTCTTGTAAAATTATTTATAAGTGTGTTCTTAACCTTATCTACACTCATCCAAACTCATCTTAACCAACTTATTTTGTCTAATTAAGTCAAAATAAGTCGAAAACCTTACTTATATGTTTAGAATTGCATAGTCGTTGAATCAAATCTAATTTGGTGGAGCAAAACAATTCCTTGCTGGTTAATTATATTCAAACTGTTCATCAAATAATAGAATTGTATGTATAAGATTGGTTAACTTTATAGCTGGTTAAATAACTAGACCCCTTTAAAATCTGATTTTTATTTTTTCCTTAGATACAACTGTGGACTTATGAAAGAGTTTTGTCATGAACCTGCTTGAGCTACAAACGCTTCCAGTGCAAGAGGAGGGGACAGTCAAAAGCAACTCATGGAAGAAACAGAGGACAACATGGGAGAGGAAGACAACAATAGCTTATTAAGGTGCCGCCGCCGATAATTATCAGTTTTTAGTACTATAATGGAACAACATGATGTAATAGACGAACCAAGCACGACCAAATGACAGAAGAAAGCAATAGTACAGTTTAATAGAGTAGAAAGATTGAGGCTTTGGTTAACAAAAAACAACGGTTTACACAATCAATAGGATTAGCCTATCAAGCTTTGTAGTGAGTTTGGCTCACAACTCTAAAACAATGGCTTGCCATACTCTAGGTTTTGCAACACAAGATTCTGCCTACCTTTGCCGTTCTTCCTTTTTCTATTTATACTAATGCTAAGACCATAACCTAATAATACTAGACTTCCCAAATTACCCCTCCTAAGGTTAGTCTACACATGAATTAATGAAAAGTGGCAGACTTTGGCAGCTAATGCTCTAGTCAATAAAGGAGTGTGTAGAGAGTAGAAGATCATGTTAATACTAATAACCTTAAGCTTCTATGTAGCTACTCCTCTTTTGGTAATCAAAATTCCATATTTATCAATTAAATCCTACATTCAACCTAAAATTAGTTAATCACAATGTCGTTGTCGGCCTCAAGAAAGGCCGAAGATGTTGGGACATATTGAGCTAGCCACAAGATCAAAGAGAACAACAAGAGATTGACTGTATCGTAGCAGGAACGACTAGGGTAGTGGAAGCCGGCCAGCGATTCTAAATAGATCAATTTCTTACAAAGCTTGCAGCAAAGTCGATCAGCAACAAAGAAGCTATTGATGGAGCAACGAAAAAACTAGAAGGACGCATCAATCGTTTCCGATAAAGTTATGAGGTGCTCATAGTGGCAAGAGTTGGCGAGAGTTATTTCAACAGGAACTCCCTGCTATAGTGTTAGGGGAGAAGAAGTCAAAAGAACCAAAAAATAGTAGTGGTTGAATTTGAAGGTTTGACGGCAAAAGGTCCAGAAAGGGATGGGCCAGGGAAAAGAGGTCTACTTTGAGACGAAATGTTGCCATATAGGGTGTACAAGAGGAGGCAGGAGGCGGTGGCCTAAGGAAAGACCCGATAACTGAATCATGTGGACCAAAATTTACTTTGATTTCTATTGTCTGAGAGGAGGAAAAATTGGAGGCTATACTGGTGCTAATGAATGGAGCCACTTGTGAGTGGTTTTAATGGGAGCACAAGCATATTAAGAAGAATTTCATGAAAGGAAGGTATGATGGAGGAATACCAAAGGAAATTCATACTCAATCTACCTCCATTCACCTAACTTAACTCATTCCTCATCCACAGTCATTAGTGGGAGTGAAGTGGGTGAATTGGGTGCTGAATAGTAGTATGATAGAAAATGAAACAGGATTGTAATTTGGATCAAACTTTCTCTGTGAAACTTTATGAATATCCAAACAATGATTAATAAAAGGCTGGTAGCATTTTTCTTCCTTGTCAATTTCCAAACATGATAAAAACATGCAATCTTTATTTCTGATATTGACTCATGCTTTATAACTAATTCATCACTATGGGTTACTTGGTACCATTTGTTTTTACTTTATTGAGAGTGAAAAGTTGAGAATTATAATCTATATAGCAACTTTTGCATGAAAAGTCACCACCTTGGTTGTAAAATTTAAATTTCCATAAAACTTACATTTTCTCTCATTATGATCTCTCTACTTTATGTTTATATTCCTCTAGTCTAAGTTGACCTTTGTGTGTATGTACCTGTTAAATGGAACCTCACTTTTCTCATCATGTATTCCTCTCGGCATGTGTTCTCTACTCTATGTTCCTCTATCCTATATTGACCTTTGTGTCCATTTAAAGTTTTTATTAGTTCATGTATTTCAAAGTTCCTCATTGTTTGATTCTATATTCTATATGATAGGCTCCAATCAGGAATGTCAAAGAACTGAAGATTATACAAGGTGGAAATCCATTTTCTCTCGACTTCATTCCAGAGGTATGTAATTTCATTGTCGTTAGGAAATTTGAGGGAAGACATAATTGTAATTAGTTTTAAATGTGACCTGATGTGGTAGTTTGACAGTGCTTCCTCACATTATCTTAGTAGTAATAAATTAAAGAACTTACCTAGTTGTTGACTTGTTGTGCTCTCTTTTCAGCATATATTATCATGGAAGCTGATAAATTGATGGTACTTATGTTCTGATATGGGTGCTTTCATTGAGACCCATAGATTTTATGAACCTGTTTGTCATAGGAGACCAAGCCTGAATGAATATAATGATGGGCCTTTGGAGCTTATAAAATCAAGTTGGGAAAAAACACATAACCTATCAACCAATTGAAGAAGTGATTTTCTTATTTTCTCCTTTGGCTTTTTGCCTTTTTCGTGAGAAATCCAAGCTTAAATGGTGAAAATAAGTTTGTATTCCTCTAGAGAAATTTGAGGGTTTATAGGCCTGTTTCTGATGCTTACATATGCCTATAGTATCTTTGTTGGTTCTATGTATTTTAATATTGTTTGGCTGATTATAAATTAGTAGTATTGAACAAACTTGAAACTGGTAGCCATTTGATTAGTAAAAAAGGGCTTTTGCCATGTGTTTGGCAAAGAACATATACTACTGGTGAAATGAGAGAAACACCTTGCTGCAAACTTACCAAACTACTCCCTTGGAAAGGAATTGGTAGTTGTTGATGGTGAAACGTATTGTTTCTGGTTGCATATTGGCCATTAATAGCTAGATGCATATTCTATGTGCTAACATGCTTATTGCCAAACAAGGCCACTGTATTGCTTTCTTAGGCTATATTGTTTAGGATGGTTTGGTTATTATTTGACATGTGAGACAAGAAAATCTTATATAGGAAATTACCCTATTTATACAAGAAAATCAGCAGACTTTTGAGGGCAATTCCCCATGCCTGAAACAATCATTTCATCATGTAACTGAACAAGGGTTTTCTTCTAGTGTCCTTAATAATACGGGTCTTTGCTTTGATGATCAAACCCCATGATGGATGCCACTTAAGTATATAAAACGACATGTCATCTAGTATCTAGGTGAAATAATATTAAGAGATTTGTTGACCAATTGTGAGCCATAGCCTTTAATGTACTTTACCACAAAACTAGCTATAGTCATGATTATGAGAAATGCGGAGTTTCCTTATTATTTTAGTGGTTATGATGTCGTGACTAGAGAATCAAGACTCAAGACCGTTGCTATGCAATTGCCAAAATGATTAATAAGCATGCACTTCAATTGTTTCCAAAGATAATTGTTAGTAAAAGGTTTTAAGCAAGTAAATTAGTAATAAATAATAAAGGTGTATGTGTAAAATACAACAGTTTTGATTTTTTTTTTTTTTTTAAATTTTGGATGGATAAAAGATTTTTGTTCTTGTAACAGCATTATAAGAACAACTCCAATGGTTGTAGTTAAGGACTTGCTTGCAATTTCAATAAATCCCTAGCTACTAGCTTGACCATTGAAGCTAGAAAAGTCAATTAGGTTTGCTAAGCTAATTTGCTTGGGGATTAAACTTGCCAAAATAAAATGCTCATTGCACCAATAAAGCTCTTTCCATGTATTTTTTATCCAACAACTACTACTAAGCTAATAGTGATTAGGGAACCATTGGAGCAAAAAGTAGCTAAAATGATAATTAGCTTAAAAGCTTATGTGGCATGGCAAGCTAATTGTCAAATTAGCTTGCCATTGGAGTTGCTCTAAGCAGATTATGTTGGGTGATGGATCACTAAGCAGACTATATTGGATGATGATGTATGAATTTTCAAACCATTATTTTGTAAACTTGTAATAGTTTGTCTTATAAAAGCTAGAATCCTTTATGTGAACATTTTTATGGTTGAATGGTTCAAAGGCGCTTATTGATGGAATGCATTTAAGTTTGAGTGTAAGCTTCCCACAAAATTGCGTAAATTTGTTGGCATTGGCAGTAAATTATTGGTAAACGAGTTTAGCATGAGGACAAGGTCTCCTCACTAATTAACTTAAACGAGTTTACAAATATTTATGCTTAACATCTCTAAAGAAATGCCGGCTTATTTGGCTAAATTTATGTCTTAACTTTTCCCCTTGATTCTAATTTTAAAAAAAATTCTGATAATACATGTTAGTGTATATAGTAGGAATAGTGGCATCTTGTATATTATGATCCTACCTCACATGATTTTGTATCCTTTTGAAATTTTTAGAAGTTTGTCTTTTATTGAAAATTCTCTTTCCATAGAGTTAGATTGGAGCTCTCAGTATCTCACTGTTGGTTGAAAGTCAATTTCATCTTTAAAATGTGGCTATTGATTGAGGGCCTGTTCTGATTTACTGAACTGAACTGATTGGAGTTGCTGACCTGAATAGAGTTGAAATGAATATTTTATGAAAGAAGGAAGTTAAGAATTGAACTGAACTGAATTGAACTGAATTGATTGGAGCTGAATTGAACTGAAATTAAGCTGAAGAGAACAAGCCTGATTTGTTAGCATAGTTAATTTACCTTTCGTCTTTTGGTATTATATTGTGATCTCATTAGTCTTCATTATTTATTGTTAATTCTATTATGAGCTTATATTATGGATAATAAAGCTTTGTTCTTTTTCCTCACATGTTTATTGTTGATGGGGGCAACTTGTCAGTCTGTCATACTGATTTTGTCCTTTATGCAGGTGATTTGTCTACCCCTCTCTGTTATTATTACTACATTCAAGAAGGCCAATGTGAAAAGACCTCTTAAGGGTTTTGGCGTTCTTGTCCCATCTAATGAACAACATAATGGATTGAAGACTCTTGGTAATTTTCTTATTTGCTTGTATAGCTAATCATATATTCGGCTCTAATGCTAGTTTCTTAGCATCTCAGGTACTTTGTTTTCCTCTATGATGTTTCCTGATCGTGCTCCCTCTGATGTGTATCTATATACTACCTTTGTTGGAGGTAGCCGAAATAGAGAACTTGCAAAAGCTTCAAAGTATGAGGTTTTATAATGTTTGTCATGTCTGTTTATTCTTTTACTGATATTGCCACTTTTATATGGCTGCCTTACTAATTTTATTACTTTTGATTTGTTGATTATAGGGATGAACTAAAGCAAATAGTTTCGTCTGACCTCCAGCAGCTGTTGGGAACTGATGCTGAACCTAGTTTTGTGAAGTATTGATATTGTTTACGCACCATTACATGAGTTGTGCTTCTTATTTGTAACTAATCATTGTAACTAAGACCTTGTACTTGTTTGGCAACAGTCATTATTACTGGAGCAATGCATTCCCTCTTTATGGTCGCAATTACGACTCAGTTCTGAGAGCAATAGAGAAGATGGAAAGAGATCTTCCCGGAGTTTTTTACGCAGGTGATCTGTCCTTTCTTGTTATTGTGAAGTCCTAGTACAGTTGGCTTGTCTATCAGGAGAATTGACTTGTTTCAGCAGAGTGTGTGTTTTCCAAGTTGTATTTCATGCAAGCTTGAGGCAGAGATAGAGTAGAATTTTTGTCAGCTGAAAGGGGAAATTATGTGTTTTTTGTCGCTTGAAGTTCTGATTGTTTCTGATGCTTTATAGTATGAAACATCAAACTCAATGGAAAAGAGACAGCTAGAATTATCATCTACTATTATTATGGTAGTTCTACCTTCTATCTATAATGAAAATTTAATAGTCTTGTAATTTTTTTTCCCTGTGTTAATGTTTTAGGTAACCATAAAGATGGACTTTCTGTGGGAAAATCTATAGCTTCTGGATACAAAGCTGCAGAACATGTTATATCTTATCTTGACTCTAAATTAGATGCCAAGATGAAGACTCTGTAAGTCATTTTTATGTCATTTTTATAATCATATAGACTGACATCAAAAAATTACATTACTTCCCATTAATGTATACAAACTAGAATAATGTTTAACTCGTATCAGGATAGCTCTGCATTGTATTATTATGAAAATTTAATTAACTATCTTGTTACTAATTCTTTTTTATGTAACTGTTTTAGGTAACCGTAAGGATGGATATTCATTGGCTAAATCTATAGCCTCTGGATACAAAGCTGTGGAACTTGCAATATCATATCTCAACTACGAAGTGCAAAGTGGGTCCCATTAACGGTTGATTGTAGGATAACGGCAAGGTTTATTGATACATAATTGTAGTAGAAGGTTATAGTGTGTAAATTTCAAAAGGAGAGGACACAACTTGGAAAAATCAATACTAGAGGGTTATAGTGTAGAATTTCCCATCAATTTTTGACGATTCTTGAGAATTAATACCATGTTATGCTCGTTTACATGGTGGACAGGGGCGAAGCCAGGAATTGAAATTTGGGGGGGGGGGGGGGCGATATTTATTAAGTAACAAGATATTATATTTCCCGATGGTATTTGCGATATTATAAATTAGATTTGACTATATTTTCTAAAGCAGCCTAAAGTATTTCATCAAAATAATCAACATTACAACCAATGAAGTCTTGCATTATTGGTTCAAGCGAAGGATTTGTGTACGATATAAGAGTATAGGCTTGATTTTCTCCTATGTCCTTTCCGTTTATATTTTGTATTTTCTCTTGTGGTTCATTTGCACAAAAATCAAAATTTTTTTTTGGGTGATAAATCAATAAAATATATATAGGAATAAAGAATAATTTTTTTTAAAAAAAAGTTATGCAATTTACTAATTTAGTAAATTAGAATATGAAAAAAAAAAAAGAAAGTTTGAAATCAAAACAATTGATAAACAAATAAAACGTAAGATTGAAGGGGGAAAAAATGAAAGTGACACCCATAACAATCGAACACCATACCAACATGTGGTAAAATTTACATATTCCACTATAACCACTAAGCTACACACTACAAAGTTATATATAAGTCCACCTTTATTGTATATATCTATGGGGGGCAGCCTTCAAAATATAAAGGCCACCAATTGGGCCACGGAGGCTGGTGGCCCAGCCCCCCTGGCTCCAACCTTGATGGTGGATCTGGTGGTGGTTTACCTTAACCTTGTCCTAAGTTAATCTCGACTGAAAAATAAATTAGTAATTAGTTGTTGGTGTTGTGTTGTTGTGTTTATTATTATTATTATTATTATTATTATTATTATTATTATTATTATTATTATTATTATTATTATTATTATTATTATTATTATTATCACAAGTTAGTACTTATGAATTTGGAAACACAATTATTTATCGAAATTTATTGCAAACAATCCCGCTTAGCTAAAATGGTTTTGTCCTGGATTCAAAAAAAAAAAGTTTTGCCCATAGAAAGAAGGGGAAGATAAAAATTTGCTATCTCCAAGGACCACAACTATTTTTTATTTTATTTTTTTGACAGGAAGGACCACAAGTCAACAACTAGTACTTACTTTTTTTTTTTTTCAACAGCAAAGCACAGAAAACTAGAAAGAAGCTAAAAGGAAAAAGGGGAACTAAAAGAAGTATGAAGTAGCCGAGGTAGGCGAGTCGATGAGCTTGATGAACATCCTCTCTACCTACTTTCAGGATTGCACGGTGTTGGAACAAACGACCCAATTTCTTAATTTCTTGGATCGTCCAATGAGTTTCTATGGGAGCCAAATTCTTATGAAGAAGAGAATTCACTAACGAAGCCGAATATGTATGGATAGTCACTGTTTGAAGTCCGCAACTAAGACTCCAACATAGCGTAGAGAGGCAAGAAAACCTTCAGCTTGAAGAGCCAAGCTTATGATGCCAGAATCTCCCCCCACTTCCTTTTCAAAATGGTCCAAAAGAGACACCATCCAGCCAACTCCAAAAGATCTAGAGCCTTTAATTTGTGCCAGGAACCGTCAACACGAACCACCACTATTAGAGGATTTAACCTATAGTACATTGAGAGGTTTTCTCGTCCCAAGTTAACAAGTAGGAATCCCGGAGGAACAGGCTCCGTCATATCATAGATGCTGAGTGTTCCCAACTTTCGAACATATGGTCTTAAAAATCCTGAAGATAGTTACAAGCTTGTTTGAGGTTGGTGAAAAAGGTTCTAAGGTAACCATTATCCCCCTCAAACACCGTCTTGTTTCGGGTGGTCCAAATTAAGAGACCACAGGGTAGCAGCGAACCTTTGAATTTGTTGACTTTGTACACCATCCTGACTATAGAACATTAGGATATAGGTTTGGATCCAATTCTATAAGGAAGTGGAGCCAGTTGAAGTTTTACTATTTGGGATACCAGAATTATCCCTAGCATAACGAGCTATAGAGCATTCCAAAAAAAATGATGGACATCCTCTAAGTGCACACCACAGTAACCACAAAGACCATCTGAATGTAGACCTCTAGAAATAAGATTACCATTTACTGTTATTCCATTAACCGCCAATTTCAAAAGGATGACATGCCATTTAGGGGGAATATCAAGGTGCCAAATTATTTTGAATAAGTCAAAAGCTTCTTTCCAGTGTGGAGGCTCAAAATGATCAAGGAGACCTGTCAAGAAGGCATAACTTGATTTGACAGTATAGTTACCATAGGAGTGACCTGGCCAGTAGAGAAAGTCATCCTGTTCTTGGAAGGGAAGATCCACAATAAAAAGTTTTTACGCACTTTCATACTCAAATCTTTCCCTGATAATCCTCACATTCCAGGTATGGGAGGAGGGGTCAATAAGGTCACGAACTGTCCACTTTGCACTTTGGCAAAGGTTTTGGTCTGAATTAACCACCGAAACCATCCCATGAACCCATTAAGCTACACGCCATAATATTTCTCCCTGAGCCAACCTTCCACACAAAACCCTTCCTCATTTTAAGCACTAGATTGTGCTTATTCCGCCTTACCCAGTAAAAAAGAAGGAGGAGGCTTATCGAAGCCCCTGCCAGGGTAAAGAGCATAAGGGAGACTAGTATTGTAGACTTTAGAAGCTAGTAGTTGTGGATGATTATGCATTCTTTGGATATGTTTGAAAAGCAAGGCCTCATTATTTATGCTCACCGAACGGATGCCAATGCAAGCCCACCCATGCCTTTTGGGAGTTGAACTATTTACCTATTCACCTAGTGGAGACCTTTATCATCATTTTTTTCCCACCAGAACTTGGTAGTGAGAGAGTCAAGTTTGGCGCTATAGCCAGAGAAAATTTGAATGATTTCATGACATGAGAAGAAATCCCTAGTAGCACAGAATTGATCAAAATTAATTTTGCACTTTCTGACAGCCTACACTGAGACCAAGAAATAATTTTCTTCTTCACCTTTTCAACAAGGTAGGTGAATTGTTGTGTTTTCCTACCCACAATATCCACTAGAACACCTAGATTTTTCCCAATATTATCCACAATCGGAATTCTCAAGATATCCTTGAAGGTTCCCGCAAGGGATGGAGAAACTGAGGGACTGAACTTAATAAAGGATTTCGAGAAGTTGACCTGTTAGCCTGAAGACTTCCCAAACCTAGAGAGGATATCAGCTATAGTGTGACAAGAGTCCGTATCAACCTTGAAAAAGTACATAATATCATATGCAAAGAAAAGATGCGAGATAGAGGGAGCTCTCCTAGAGATTTTAACTCCTTTAAGGGTCTTAATGTCTTCCGCTAGAGTCAGCATGCGAGAAAGAACATCCATACAAAATAAGAAAAGATAGGGTGAGAGAGGATCACCTTGCCTCAAACTGCAAGTTGGTTTAAAGAGTTATGAGGTTTTCCCATTCACAAGGGCTTTAAAAGAAACCGTCGAAATACATTTGCGAAATCCATTGTAGACATTTCTTCGGAAGTCGAAAGCCTGCAGGGTTTTTAGAAGGAAGTGCCAGTTCACCCTGTCATAGGCTTTAGACATGTCTACCTTGATGGCTGCCAAATAAGTAGAGCGGTTTCTGGAGTTAATGAAATACATAATTTCTTGAGACATGAAAATATTATCTTCCATAGATGAAAGCATGTTGGTGATCCGAAATAAGGGACGGAAGGACAAGCTTTAGGCGCCTAACCAGGCATTTCGCAATGCATTTGTAGACTGTATTTACGTAGTATTTAATTTTCCTATCTTATGGTTTTAAAAGAGAAATCAATACCAACTACAATAAGTACTATGCAAGTAGAATTACTACACATTGTACTTATTAGCAAAATCATACATAATAGCTTGAAACTCAAATCAGACTCTCATATTTATCCCACATTCTCCAAAAAAAAAAAAAAAAAAAAAAACAAAAACAAAAACAAAAAAAGAGCGGGTGAACGTCAATTTATTGTAAGACGGGTTAAAGTTAACGTATAAGTATTAAGTTATCCTTTATATTACAAAAGTTATTTTTTTCTAGTAATAAATTTTATCTTATAAAAAACTTAACATATCATATCACTAATATATAAAGCCGGTCTCGCAGCCAGGCCACGAGACAGCGACAATTGGCATTCTAGTTTTTAGCCAAGTGGTCGACAAATAGGTATTATTGTGACACATAAGATGCCAAGTATGCGAATTTTGGATAGATAAAATGTTGTATAATGTTTTATTATTGATATACTTCTAATGTTTAATATATACAAAATTAATTATAACTTTTAATAAATATATAATATCTCAGTACTATTTCCATCATAAAATTCATTTTAAAAAGTTCTTTAAAATGAGATCCATTTAAAATATATTCTAACTAAAAATAAAACTCAATAAAAATAAGTTTTAATAAGAAAAAATAATTTTAGTTTGGTAAAAATACTTTCAGATCATTAAAAATTAATTTAAGTGCAATAAAAAAATATCAAGTTAATAATAATATTATATCTATTTTCAAATAAAATCAAAAAATTACACTATTATATAAATGTAAGCGATATGACATCATATGTCTAAATATTTTACAATATTAAAAGGGGTTATATGATTGTATTTCACATTCAATTTACAAAGTTTAGGACAATTCGGGTCGCGCCACATAAGCAAATTATGTCGCGCCACTTGGCATTTTAATTTTTCCCCAAGTGTCGCGCCACATCAGCAAATTATCATATTATACTTTGACACCTTTCACGCTAGATAAGCATATTTAAGATAGATTTTTTAGGTGAAAAAAAAAAGTTATTTAGTGCTTTATTTATGATAGGATTTCTAAATTCCATTAGAATAAACTAGGTTGTAACTTTCAAAAAAATATCTTATAAATAATATTCGATAAAATTTTAGCTGGTCACAATATATTTGTTCAGAAAAAAAATTATTAGACTTTCATTGCCTATCAAATAAAATAATAATTGGTATGAATAAAATTTCCTAAGCAATCATCTTTCAATAAAAATGCTACCTCCAATTCCTATTATATGCAACTTCAAAATATTTTTTATCTCACAAATAATACACCAAAGTTGCACATAATACGAACCGGAAGTAGTAATTATAATAGTCAATCGTCTTATAGTGTAATAAAAAGAAAAAGATGATGAGGTGACTTGTGAGGTTTAACAAAACTAAATCGTATCAAAAAACAAAAATTGACAAAGGGAAATCTTTTTATTACTACTCCATGGTTAGGGATCAAACTTGGGTCAACCAAATGACA